AAAATAGCGGTATCTCTGTATTGGAGAAGCCACATTCCTGCATTACTGGTTAGAAGAGAGCTACTGAAACTTCATAGATGGTTGTGTCAATGAGAAAGAAATTCTCACAGTGCTAAGCTACTGAAGGCTAGAGGTTGTTTAGTATGGCAGCTAACAATATCTTGATTAATAAACACATAAAATGTTCTCACAGAATTTATAACACACGAGTTTTAGTGTAAAATATCTATACACTAAATGTATTGAGTACTACTATATAGCAACCTTCACAAAAAGGAACAATTTGATTTTACATAAAAATAAAATAAAATTACTGGGACCAACAGATGGTGTAATGGTTACGTTACTGGACTCCATGTAGTCAACTGTGTTTCAAGTCTCGGACCTAGAGGCTTAAAACTCATGCCGGGCACATGTGTGCATGACCAAAAACATAAAAGAAAACAAATCCCAAGAGGAAAATGGGGAAGGGATTGCAGTATGGCCATTCTCCTAGAGAGTGATTTATTGTTTTCTTTCTCTCTGGTGAGCACATGTACCCTATACCAAAAATATATTTTAAAAAAATTTTAAATAGTAAAATTATTCCTAATGTATGAATTTATTCCACATAGTTGTTAGGATATATACATTGACTATAAAATAACAATATCCTTACAGATTTTCTACAGTTTGCAATCTAAAATAAATGTTCTTGTATCATCAGTTAAAATGACTTTGGATCAAATATGGGAAAACATGTGAGTCAGAATTTCCTTTGCAATATCACTACTTCTAAAATGGAATGCCAACAAATTTAAGAATAAATTTTTCCCCAGAAGATAAGCAATATATTGGTCATGATTTAAACTAGGAGGTAGCTTGCTTTAAGTGGTTATTCTGAAAAAATTTGGAAGAAAAGTATTCTAGTAAGAAACAGCCCTCTATAATTTGTTTATTTATATTTTATGTCCTCTATATATTCTGGGTATGGTCTTTAATTATTACTGTAAAACCACAGAAAAATACATGTCTAGTTTTTTGGTTCTTTTCCATGCCTTCAAGACAGGAAGAATACACAAATTAGTAATTCTTACATTTATGGCTAACAAATCAGTGAAAGCAATCCATTTTATTCTGAGAATGAGATCAACACTACATACTTCTTTAAGTGCTCAATTAATATTCCAAACATCAGAGGCAGAAAGACAATGGTGAGCATTTTTCTCACCATGGGATATCGATTTCCAGTGATTCGGAACTCAATTTTATTCTAAATATTCATATTTCATAGAAACACCTTCCAAAGAATATAAAGGAAGCAGAAAGGATAAGTAAACTAAAACCTTTTAGAACAAGGCACATGGCTTTTTCAAGTTGTCTGAGTATTATGAGAAGACAAAAAAAGCACAAAAAAATGGGTACTAGAGAGTATACAACCAACAAAGAACAAGCCCTGTTTCTTTTTCAACTAAGCTCTATTCCATCCTACAATCATTAAGTTTAAGAATGCTGCAAACTGGGTCACAGTTTTCCTAAGTCACATGTATGTTAAGATTCACCCGAGGAGCTTCAATATTACCCATCACCGAGTTTCACTCAAGAACAATTAAAGCAGAATATTGGGTGTGTGTGCATGTATTTAGCATTCATTTATTATTTATCTGTTGTGATTTTCAAGCTGGGTCCAGGATTCGAACCATGGTCTATCATGTTGGAATCCAGTGCCTTAACCATATGCCACCTGCAGATCCCAATAAGGTATATTTTAAAAGCTCCCTAGTTGGTTCTAATGTGAAGATTAGTGAGTTTCAACCTTCTGATGTTTAGTAGAACTATCTCTATATATAGTATTGTATAGGGGATATTGCCAAGAAGGGAAAAGAAATTCACCTTGGATCTGATCTTCACTAGGTGCTTTAATATGTACATATCCTACAATGAAACATCAGGATAAAAATTTTTATTCAAATTTGAAAATATATAATTAAGTTGAAAATATGGGAAGTAAACCACACTCTGAGAGCTGATGAAAAACTCAGTACTAAACATGGACATCTTCCAGGACAGTTATGTTTCTTGAAACTAGAAATATTTAAGCAAATATTCATAGATAAAATTATATATATATATATAATTTTATATATATATTATATATGTATATATAAAGTGATTAAAATAGATCAGCAACTAGGGGAAGAAAGAGAGGGGGGAATCAAGAAAAAAAAACTATCGGAAACCAGCAGTTAGTGTAATGGCTATGTCGCTGGACTCTCACATAGTTGACCGCGGTTCGTGTCCCGGATCTGGTGGCTTAGAACTCACGCTGGGCGCGTGTGCGTGCGTGCCCAAGATCCCGAGAGGAGAATGGAGGAGAAGGGACTGCAGTGTGTCCATCCCCCCTGGGTGGTGATTTCTCGCTTTCTGTCTCTATGTCTCTCTCTGTCTGTCTGGTGAGTGGACGCGCCCTATAGCGAAAACCTCTCCAAAAAAAAGAAAACAAAACTATCAAAACATCTAAGTGACACAAAAATAAAAAGTTATCTGCTTATATAAAAAATTATATGCACTGTATTTATGCTGGGAAAAACTATGTCATACATTGCAAAGATATGCAGTGATTAGATATAAACACATATATGTAAATCAATTTTTTTAAATGAATAGCAAAAAAAAAAAAAATGGCCAATGAACCAAATTCAGCCCCTGCCCATTTCATCAACAAAGTTGTACTAGAAATCAGTCACAACCATTCTGTCACTCTTCTTGTAGCTATACTTACACAAAAATGGCAGTTGAAAAGTTGTGACAAGGACTATATGTCCCTTAAAGCCCAAAATACTAACAGTCTATTTGCTGTTTATTATGGTCTGTCTGAATGTTTCTGCGCTCACAAAAGTCACTTGCTGAAATCCTAAACCCCAATGTGATAGGATTGGGATGTGTTGTTTTTGGAAGGTGATTGGGTCATGAGGGTGGAGTGAGTCCTCAGTAACGGAATTATCATCCTTATCTAGCACACCCTAGAGAGACATTTGCTCCTTCCAACATGTGAAGACATGAGAAGGTACTGAATATGAATGAGAAAGTGGGCCCTTACCAGATACCATATCTGCCAGCACCGCGACTTTGAACATTCCCGATTCCAGAACTATGAAAAATAGATTCTATTGTGTATAAGCTACCCAGGTTACAATCTTTTACTTATAGCAGCCTCAACATACTAAGACACTCTTCACCCACTAACCTATAACCCACTACTAGATCTGAAATTTATGAAGCTAAAAAATTACTAAATCATTCCAAGGTCTCCAAAAAGTGAAATGCCACCTGAAATATCACAATTTAATAGCATAAGGAAAAAAACATACACGTTCTAATAACATTATGAAGTGCACATGCTGCTTATGTTTTCTTTCTTAAAGTGGAGTACTTGCTATAAAGCATGAATTGAAAATGTCAAAGTGGCAGAAAATAAACATTAAAGTTGCATGACATATATTACTAGGAGCTTGATAGAACAGAAATAATTCCAGAATTTTTAAAAATGTCTTCTACTTAAAGAAACTGATATTGCCAGGTTTTTGCCTTGTCTTTTAACAAAGCGATGTCTAATCTGCCATTACTACTCTAATGCAACTTAATGACTGTGTGAAGCACACTTCACTGAGGAGACAAGAGTGAAGGAAACAAACCTACCATCTGTCATTCCTTCCCTTCGATGAGGCAATGCTGGTTGTTGGTCCACGCGCCCTCCCTTGTGTTTTTTCGTGGGCCTAGGCCTCTGACTCAGGGCTGCACTGGTGTTACTGTCAGTAGAAAATGGGCTGGTAGGTCGAGGCCTTTGAGAGGCGGTAAAGGCTTTTCCTAAAATAAAAATAAATAAATAAAAGGGAATGGGGAATAGAGAATGTCATTATAATACATTGATTCTAGGTCTTGTGCATCTGTTCTTAAGGCTAACCTGCAAATCTACCTAGAAATGCCACTTGAAGATACCAAATACTGTTGCATCTCTTTGAAAGACGTATGGCCTATTACATGGATTTTGTCCAATTTTTAATAAGCCAATGACACTCCATCCATCCCCCCAAATTCAAACAAATGAACATAAAACAAATCCACCAGCCAAAAACTCAATAATTGCTTGATTATGTTTTTTTATTTAACCTTAAAACTCTTGGTGATATTTTGATAGATACATGCAAAGTCATAAAGCTTTTTTTTTTCTTAAAATTAAAAAAGCTATTTATAAATTGTGTAATGTCATATTTGTTTAATCAAATTTCACCTTTGGAATCTTACAACCTCTCTCTGAGCACACAAAAAAAATGTCCTATAGTAATTACATTAAAAATTTTACATGAAAGATCTGCTCAGACACATACATTAAATTGACCTTACCACCTGTGCACCTAGACAATGAATCCTACCTCTTTGAGTAGAAACTCAGTAAAATCAGTGTAGAGGATAGCAGATTACAATCACCAAAGTGCAATAGGTATTTTTCTGATGAATATTATTGTATCTGAGCAGACTAAATCCTCATGAACAATGAAATGTGCTATATATCCTTTTTCTGTAGTTCAGTGTAAAGGAAAATTTATTCTGAGAACAAGTTAGCTAATAAGTGTTCAACAACTTATGGTTTTAATGCCAAGTTTATTATGTTAGGAGAGGCCTGGTTTATGGACACGTATTTATCCTCATGTGCATGTTTTCCCTTCATGCAAAATTACTGTGTGTAGTTTCATTTTCTTAAGTCAATGTGATGTGGTATTACCTAATGCTTTATTAGCTATTAGCATCCATGCAAGAAATGCACTTATGACTTCTAATTTATTAGTTTCCTTGCATTTTCTCACTGCTCTGCTTACAGCTAATGCCACAGAAAGCACTCAGGCAACATAAAGTTTCTGACTTATGCCTTACAAAGCAAGAAAATTTAAATAACAGTTATATTACAACATATTTTAGTTTGGATGCTATATGAAAAATAAACCTCTGCAATGCTTAGAAAATATTTTTATTTCATTTAAACATAACCTAATGCATGCTCTAAAAAAATGTTGTTGGCCTAATTTAAATAAAAGTTTGAAGATTCATTTTTATAACCTGAGAGTTTAGTGATAGGTCAAAATCATTTTTCTTCCCTATACTATTTAAACATTATTAAAATTTCAAAAAATGCACTTAATGTTTTACCAGTTTGTTTCTGAAGGTAGCTCAGTCTGAGTCATGTTACTACCTTCTCATATGTACATTTAAAAGTACACATTCAATTTAGGTCCATGAATCATGTCAAAGTTATTTTGTTTTGGTCAAACAAATGATTGCAAATTATTTCTCTGTTGTTTGAGTTAATACCATGTTTATTTTTTTATGGCACAGCACATGAAACATTATGTAATCGGTCTCTTATGTTATTATTTATTACTCTCAGAAATCAAAATAAAATTATTCCAAAGAGCAAGACACATATAGTTATCCTCTTATTCAACTTGCAAATGCAGTGGGTATATCTTTAATAAGCATCCTTTAAAACAAATAATAAATTACTGTATTAAAATCTTAACAGCAAGACAATTAATAAGACCATCAGCCATTTGAACTGTTAGACCGACAGCTTTAGACCCATTCACCCCATGCTGAGGAAGCCTTCCCAGAAAATGCATTTGCAGAAAGAAAAGGGGCAAAGGAAAGTAATGGAGATAAAAGCTGAATAATTTTAATCACTGGGTACATTATTGATTGTGTGAGGATTGTGCAAAGTGTGAGTTATTGAAAATTTAATGGCAATCTTAGTTGCTGCTCTGCTGTAATATAAAAAGGAAGCATATTCCAATTAATCAGCAGAGCTTGAAGAGAAAGGGTAGTAAGAGAAAGAAGGTGGTGAGAGCCTATTCTTGGCTATGCAAAACTAGCATCAGAAGAGAGATAACAGAGATAACGGGCATCCAAACTGTGTTCATGCATATCAAAGAAAGACCTGCAGTGAGACTCAAGAGGAAGAACAGGAGGACCAAAGGTCAGTGTCCAAAGGACAAGATTCTCTCATGCAAAGGGTGTTGACTTGGAGTCTACCAACCTGTTCTTGTCAGGCTGGTTCCATCCAGCCTAAAACCAGCTTTATCTGCTGCTGCCACCAGTGCTTGTGCAAAACTGCCGCTGGCAAAGATGGAGCCATCTGAGGAGCTACCTACACTAGATCTATGACTAGAAAAGTTACGATCCTCATCAGATGCAGAGCCCCATCCATTTACCATTGAACCTAAAAACAAATGTAGTTGTCTAGTGAGTGGTACGTATTGGATAGCCATTTGCTTGCACACTCTGCTAAGGAGAAAAGTGGCTGCCTCAAATTTTTGCTTCTTCTTTCAGGTACCTCTGGTTTCATCATGACTTTTTTAGCCAAATGTAAGCATCATTCATGTTTTAAACATTCTTAGTGTAGAAGAATGAAGAATGACACACTTTTGAAATCAGTACATATTTGCATGAACAAAAACATTTCATATGGTTCAAATCCTAACATTGTTTCAATTATTACATGATCATTTTCCACAAGACAATTGTTATGTATATCTTAAGTTTCTACAATTCAGAGAACACTTTTATTAAAACCAATTATAGTGTATCTAGAGCAAACTTATCAAGGACTAAACCAATGTTGAATTTAATTTCGATACTAAAGGTAATACTAGGCATAAAAACTACACTGCACAGGGCAGGAATTCTGGAAATATTTGAAGATTTTAAACTAAAAACTTGGTTAATCCTGAAACAACAATTAAAATTCATAAACAAAAGTATAAACAATTTCAAAGAATATAAACTTGGAACATAAAAGTAAAACATTTTTACAAAAGTTTTATTAATTTCAATATTTATTATGCTTTCATGGCTTTTAATTCATGTTTAAATCTTGTTTTCTCTTTGATATTAATATTTATCTTAAAATATTAACTTTTATGAAGAATATCACTAGCATTAATATAAACTTTTCTTTAAAATATAACATAGCAATAGAGGAAACGAATTAGCTTTATGTGTAAAGAGTTGTAAATTATGAAGAAATAAAAAAAAACCTTATTCTTAATTTTGTAGCAATTAATTTATAATTTTCTTTGCCAGACAAAAGCACACTGAGAATTTCACATACTATTTAATAAAATTAATATCATAATATTTACTTAGGTTGCTATACCATTGACTCATGATACCAAAAATTACTCTTAATGCTAACATTCTTGAGAAGAAACGCAAAAATACTATGAACAGCTAATTTAAAAATTCTAGATAAACCAAATACATCTTTATGTGAAAGGGATTGAAGTTAAATACTACAGATTACTTTCCCCTTTTTTTATAATTTAGGGGGCAACAGCATAGTCAGGCGTGCTATTAGGATGCAGTGTTTCTCATTTTTGTCACTGGACCAACCAGGATACAATAACATGGATTCATGCACTTTCAAGACAGAAAAAAAAAAAAAAGCAAGAAACCAAAAGGATTTGAACAATCTGAGAAGTTAAAAGGGTGTTAAGTGTAGCAGAGAAAGATAGAGTTTTGATTTGATTTGCCAAAAGCACAGAGATACACTTTTTACTTTCTAAACAAATTCCCTCGACACAGGCCACTGCAAACAAGCCAAGATAACACCAGTAACTGAGCCTCCTCTGAGAGAATCATTTCTGGGTTAATAATCACAAGTCAAGGACCAAGAGACCCAAAATGAGAGAAGAAATGATGCAATAAGCCTTGCAATATAATGCTACAATAGATAAGAAAAAGTCAAAGTGATTCAGTAAGAGGTCACACACAAAAAATGAAACTCTAGAACTGAGGATAAATCTAAAACATTTGAAAGTTCAGTCCAGGCCCTTTCATGTGCTGTTTTCTCTATTTCTAACTGTATACTCTCACTCACCAATAAAGTATCTCCTTATTCTTCTACGATTTCATCCCCAGATCCACTCCACTCGTTTTTTCCCAATCCCGTGTTGTTCACTGTTATATACATTACCTTTCTTACGTACTTATTGCACACTTTTACTCCTTTGTTTAAAGCCTTACCTAGTTCACCACTGCCAAGTCCAAACATTAAATTAGGTATTTGCAACTCTTCAATGTCTAGCTCAGCCTATCTTTAGAGTCCAGTACTCTCTGACAGTCTCTGGGGTCTCTGCCTCCCCTACAAAACATCATGTCTCATTCTTAGACATATGTTTGTATTGCTATCAACACTACTAACCACCGCTAAACTTTAATGTCTAAATAAAATGCCATCTCTTCTATTACCTTGATTCTACTTCACCTTCAACCCCCTCTTAGGGAGCATCGGTCTCTGTTCCTCCTCTGATTCTGAGCATTATGCACACTGACGTGAGTCGGTTACCTTCAATATTACAGTGTGTTGTATGAATGTGTTTCTTCTTTTAGGCAGTAGAAGGCTAGACATTAGGAATTCATATTCTTTTTCATATTTCTTAAATATTATGCAATACAGATGCAATAAACAGTGGGCATATTGAATTAAATGCATTCAATATTTTCTCTACTCACTTCGAATTGAGTGTGTGATTCTATTGGACATATAATTTCATAGCAATGAGATTATTGGGGTTACAGAAAGAATGTCCTTATAAGAATTATCAGAAAATATGCTAAAGAAGGAATATAATGTTAGCTAACCCTTGTTCATGACTTGGACAACATGGAAAACTTGCTTCTTGATTCCAGCCTGAGGATCTGGCGTACTTATAAACCTGAACCTACAAAATTTAGAAAAAAAAAAAATTCCTACAACACAGCAGTTACTAAAGAAAGGCCATGCTGTGAGAGCTTCTCACAACAAATTAGCTTAC